GCGGTTCCTGTCCGACAGAAGGTCCGGCACCGTCTTCGGTCGGCGGATTTGTGCCTCGGAAACGATAGGCGGCGGCGTTGATGAGTGACCGTAAAACGACGACGATTTCTTTGTTAACTTCCCTCGTCGGTGAGGCTCGCCCTGGCCGTTACGGTGATTTTTGGAGTTGGCCATGGTTTTAAGTAACGGTTAAGGGTAAAGATGGAATTTAAGGAGGTTCGGCTTGGGTTAACGGTTTTTTACCTCAATCGACGGTAGCGATGATATCTGAGGCGAGGGAAGCCATAGCTTCGGCTATGTGGTTCACGCGGATTGGAAGCTATCATAACCAGAGGGGTATAACCGTAAATAAACCACTGGAAAGCGCAGAAACTGAAAAAACAAAGAAGAGAAAGAGTGAAGGGAAAACGCACGCTGACTCTGTGTGTGAGTTTTATTTATGAGTGAAGTCGGAGAGAGTGGCGTGCTACGAAATTTGTTTTGATTTTTTTTCTTTAATGATTTAAAGATATATAATGGGAGTTGTAGTTAACTAGTTATTGACGACGGTGTGGGACTTGGGTTGGATTTATAGGGCGGGATTGGTGTGATAATCGAGGTAGGGATAAGTTGGACACGTGGTTGGACGTGATTGAGTGGGTTCATACGCGGCTGGCGTTGGAGATGAGAGATAAGGAGAGGAACCAAGGGGACGAGGGAGGTGAAGTTCACTGTAACACGTGGAGAGTTGCACAGGAGATTGCGATGCTTCGTGAAGATGCTTCTGGTGGTCAAGAAAAGAGACTCAAAATCAAACGGAATCAACATCTTCTTCTTCAAATAAATTACCTTTTTCTTTTTATGTTTATTCATAAAAAAAAACTTTGTTTAAATAGAAGAAAAAGTTAATTATATTTTCATCTTTATATTTTTATTAATGTGTAATTTTAGTTTTTATTTTAAAATATAAATATTTTATTTTTTAAATTTTAAAAATACAAAATTTTAATTCTCTCCTTAAATTGATATTTGTTAATTATTAAATTTTAATGTTTATCATATTTAAATAATGTGAATTTAATAATATGATATTTTGAAGTAAAAAACAAAAAAATATATCAATCATTCATAAAAATAAATATAAATAAATATTTCTTTATATGTCATGTTATTAATATTCATTTAAGTGGTGATAGATCATTAAATAATAAGAAAATTTAATAATAAATAAATATTAATTTAATAAAATTAAATTTTATTTTTAAAAATAAGAAGAAAAGTACACGTTAAACACTTAAACAAGAAAATAAGTAATACTTGAATCCCTACATTCCTTATATAGAAATCTTACTTGAATCAAGTTCTATTTACTAAACAAACTTTTCTGTTATACAATTATTTTGAATTCGATAATATAAATTATTCCTTAAAAGCAATTTGTAACCGATTTCAATCTTTTAAATAAATCAATCTCAAAATATCATTTAGTAATTCAGATTTTAGCAAAACGAAAAGATTTTAATTTTTTTAATCCTTTCATTTTTCATGATATTAACCATAAAATTGAAAAAAGTTTCCATTTTGAAAAAAAAAATCCATTTGATCCAGATTTCATAAAATTGAAATCTTCTAATTAATATATATGGTAGTTTCTGTGATGAATACTATCTTATAAATTAAAAGTTAACTAAGATTTCTATTGAATGTTTATTAGTTTTTTTTATATATAAATATACACTAGTATTGTTAATATTTATTATACATAATTAATTAAAATTTACAACAAATTACATGTATAAATAAATATTATGAATATAAATGAATATTTTAAAGTATATAAAGTATATTTTATATTATGATGAGTAATTTATATTGTGATACAATATTATTATCAATTATGAATGATTTATCTTTAAAATATTAAAATTTGATTTAAAATCAATTTTAATATATTAAATACAAATGATTATCTTGTATAAGATTATTTTAAAAACATTGATTAAATAATTTCTAAAAAAATTTAACTTGTTATCTAATTCAGTTTTTATTATTAAATTTTTTATAAATTAAATTTTAATAATTTTAAATAAATTATTACTAAATAAAAATAATGTTGTGATATAATATATTATTTATAATAAATTTAAAATATAATTTATATATTTAAAAATATCTATTTATATGAATTTTAAATATAATTTATATATTTAAAATGTAATATTGTTTATATATATAATTTATTATAAATTTTAATTATATATAATAAATATTTAATTTGTGTATTATATATACTAAAATATTAATAAATATACTAAATGCAAACCGAAAATATCCCTTATTAAATATCTAAAAAAAATGCTTTTGCTAAATAGAAGTAAAAAACGAATGAGATTACTTATCTGATTAGGATATGCTAATCATTCTTTTTGGAGCTTCTATTTAGAAGCATTTTTAGGGTATTGGTTAAAAGTTATACGGCAAACATAATGAACATACACACAGTTAGGATTTGACCCGTCTCCACTAACTTATGCCAACCCTAACTCGCACTATACCAATGATTGATTCTTTAAAATTTTGCCTAATAATAAATACAAACAATTTAAATAAATATCGTTCATGAACTTCAACATAATACTCTTCCCATTATCAAAATCCCAACAAGTACATAGGATTTTGTATACGTGTAAACGAACATAATTTTCTAATAATCGAAAACAAAAATGTTTATATTACGGAGAAGAATTCTAACACGAACCAACTTTCTTTGTAAAATGTATAAAAACTATAATTTAGTAGTGCGTTTCACATGAGAAATTATGATTTAATAATTGTACCGGAAGGACCCTATCGGCCACGTGGATCGGTCACGTGGACCGACACGTCATGTCCTATCAGATATTGACGCAGCTCAGGTAACATTTCGGCTCGGCCACGTGGATCGGCCACGTGGACCGGCATGACATATACTATCAGATGATACTGCTCAAATACCACTTCGGTCCGATAGGGGACTAAGAACTGTGCTCTTCCCCTATCGGCCTCGCCAGAAGCCGAGAGAGGACGTTTCGGCCGTGTTGTCTCGGCTCGGCCATTAGGTGAACTACTAGAACGACGATTATGATTAGTAAGGATAAGTACATGATTAAAACATAATCAGCTGATTAACATCGTATTACCTAATTTGGTAAATGTCAGAGAAGGCCCACCATGCTCAGGCCCATGTCAGGTATTATAAATAGGTCACACGTAACGAGGTAGGTCACTGTTCATTTTATTACCCTAGAAAATTGTGGATATCCTGACTTGAGCATTGGAGTGCCTTTTGCAGGTACCTCCCCCCTCTGAAGAATCCACCTAAAGCTCACGTTCGGCCCTCTTACACCCCAGAAGACTACAAGTGTACCCTCAAGCAGGTACATTTTGGCGCCCACCGTGGGGCTGAACCGAAAGCATAGCAGAAACACCAAAAGTTTACGAGGAAAAAAATCATGGTAAAGACAAGGAATACTAATTTCGAAGGGCAACAGTCCGAAGAGGAGCACCAGTCCGGGGCCGAGACGGTTGAGGAGACAAACTTGACCGATATGGTACGCCAGATGAAAAAAGAAATGATCGCTATGAAACAGCACCGAGAGAGAGATGCCGCCGAGATGGCCGCATTGAGAGAAGAGAATGCTGCTCTGAAAAACCAGTACCGAGACCCACGTGGAAACCATCTGAGACGACCCACACTCAGGGGTCGTTCCACTCTTACGGCCATCACACCTCCATCCCCCACACTTCTGTTGCTGCCCCAGTTGCTCATGCTTCGGGCAGCCGACCGATACATCCATTGCCGGCCGGAGCACATCAGCATCCCTTTACTCCAAGTGTTATGCAGACGGCACTCCTTGACCATTGGAAGCCATTGCCACTCGATAAGTATGATGGTTCCACCGACCCCGACGAACATGTCGACATCTTCTTGACTTAGGTCACCCTCAGTACTACTGACGATGCTGCCTTGTGCCGAATCTTCCCAACCTCGTTAAAGGGTCGGGCATTGAGCTGGTTCATACGACTTCCGGCCAACTCAATCGACTCCTTCAATACATTAGCATCTCAATTCACCATTCAGTTCGCCACCAGCAAGCCTCATCAACTGACCTCGCTCTCATTGGTAAGCATAAGACAAGAAAAGAAGGAATCCCTTCGGACCTTCATGAGCCGATTTAATAAAGCGGCTTTGGAGATCCGAGACCTCAACCCTGCTGTAGCTTTGCACCACCTTACCACCGTCTTGAAACCGGGACCTTTCGCCAACAGCATCTGTAAGAAACCCCCAACTGATATGGATGATTTGCGTCGGCGCGCCGACAAATACATGCAAATGGAGGAATTAGCTGGGTTCCGTAATCAAGCACGGGCAGAGATAGCCGCCAAAGCCGATAAGCCAGCCAAGAGCAATTATCGGAGCCGTCCTAAAGAAATTTCCCGCGAAAAACCAACACGAGGACCAAGGTATTCTCATTACCGAGTTTATGAATGTGAATCCTCTACATAAGATATTTGAGATTTTGGTTTTATTTATGGAAGATTTTAATTATTCCTATTTATTGTGTAATTATGAATGTGGGGTAGAGGGTGTCACATTTAGTGGTATCAGAGCCTGGTTGATTCAAACTAGACGTGTATGTTATGTGCTTATCATGATTTTGTTGTGTACTCTGACAGTGCTTTGCTTGTTGTGTACTTTGATGGTGTTTTTCTTGGTGATGATGATGATGATTCATTGTGTTGTTAGCGTTATTTTTGATTGTGTGTTGAGTTCTTAAAATATGGTTGGTAGACATGATATAGCTTAGTTGATCCTATTATGATTATTTTCTTCATTCTCATTATTGCTTATTTGTTTTGATACTTCTTGCTTACGTCAGAAGTAGTGGTTAGATGGTATCGCTCGTGTTGCAAGCATATGTGCAAGTAATAGTGAACGAAGCATCGTGCTAACCAACTAGAACTATTGGAGTATTGGATGTGGTTGAAACATATTGATCTGTTGAATGTATTAAAAGTTTATTGTGAATGGAATTTTCGAAATCTATAACTGTAGAGATTGAATCCAAAGAGGTTATATGTTGAGAATTGGAGTTTTGAGTGTTCTTGATGAAAGAGTGAAGTGTTGGTGATTTCTTGAGTTTTGATACTTGCATGTTGACCTTTTTATGGTTTGGGTTGCATGTGGGTTTTATTTCAGTTCGGAGTCTTTTGTGTGGAATATGTGAATTGTTTTGGTTTAGGATTGCATTGGGAAGATTGGATTTGAGTTTGGGGTGGAAAGGAGTGAGTTTGGAAGTGTTTTAAGGTATTTTCATGGTCTTGGACTTTGGTGCACTCTTTTGTTGTCTGGTGTAGGGTATGTTTTCGCTGCAGTTTTGTCGCGCCATTACGAGTGCTATATTGACAGAATTAGTTTTTGTAGTATTCATGAAAGTTGTAGCCTTGAATGTTATCTTTCCAATGGCACCAGAATCATGTAAAACGTAGGTCTAGAACTCCAGTTATAG